AAGCATTCATAAGATGGGGCTTTGCTGTAGTATAATCTATTTAAAAGAAGAAAAGACTGAGAGTCTTGACACGTAAATTCTGGTCCAAGTGTGACCTTGGCCAATGAGTTGCCCTTCCCTGGCTTTGGACATGGTGATCATGGAGTTGGACTCTGATTTCTAAGGTCTTAGATGCACAGGTTATCAGGGCTAGGTGCACCTTGGAGAACATCTGGTTCAACTCCTTGTTTTTGACAGAGGAGGCAACTGAGTCCCCCCTAGGGGTAGTCACTTGCCCAAGGTTAGTTAGTATGGAGTGACAGCCAGAACCCAGGTCTCTTGGTTCCCTGACTAGCATCTGTGCTCTCCTCTTGCTGGCAGCCTTAACTAGCTGTGATTCGTATGCATCATCCGTGCACTGCAGGAATCCACACATTGCAGCCACATTCCAAGGAAGCAGATGCTGCTATGCAGATGCACACATGCCTTGAAGACCAAGAACTGCGGGAAATCAGGCTGGAGAGGAATTTTCATAAAATGTGAGCATCCGGACCACAGCCTTGGGGTCCTGCTCTTCTTCAACCTATGAATGTGCAGTGTCAGCAGTTCCATCCTCATCACCCTGATGGGCCTGGGTGGGAAGGCCAGTTTGTGGGCTTGGACTGGGCTATAAAGGTTTCCTGTGAACTGGAAGGTTCTTAAAGCCCATTCCTACATGGGCCTGCCCGGGGAATTTAGTTATAGAGCAAAAAAGCCTCAAAATAGGAAATGTTATCCTGCCAAAGGGAAATCAGTGATATTTAAAGTTTCTTGGTAAAGGGCAGTGGTAGTATGATATGTTTACAAGTTTCGTCCAAATAGCATGCCATCAAGTTGCCCCCAGCAGATTGCAAGCTCTGATTGGCATGCCTGTGGCCATAGAACTTTGAGAAGTGGCTGTTATAAACATACTATTCCTGCTTTTTGGTATTATCCTGACTAGGATAATGAGAGTTTGGCGGGGTCATCTGGAAAATTCTGGCAGGAAAATTCTGGCAGGAAATAGGATTGGGATTAGAATTTTGGAATTTAAAGGACCTTAGGGAATCATCTCGTCCCACCCTCTCATTGAACTAATGAAAAAACAGAAGTTTGGAGAGGGATGTTGACTTCCCAGGGGGGTCACATAGCATGCTCATGCTTTAATTCAGATGGAAGGGGAAGATTTTCTCTCCCATTAATAGCCAGAAAAAGCACATATTCTGGGGGCTAAGGTTGGGGAGGCAATCAGAAAAAGTGAGTGGGTTTCAACTAAGTGTGGAAGCCTTCTGGGTTTGAGATTTTAGAGGCAGAGTGGTCATCCTGTCCCTGAACTCTAACCTTCAATCCCCTCTCTGTCCCATGGAAGCCTGACCAGAGTGGCAAAATTCAAGCCATAATTCTTCACAGTTCTTCAGGGTAACCAAGGAGGGTGCGTGAGCAGAGCCACCTTCACCTAGAGCAGCTCCACTTCTGTCTGTTTTCTATATAAGGCCTGAATAAAGATTTGTTATAAGAAAATGTTCACCAGGCAGAAAATATTTGAAAAACAATAATAGTAACTTGAGACTAGATAAGTCTTTGGAGGGCCCCGGAAGCCTGATAGGATGGGAGTTCTCAACTCTGGCAGGAAGACTAGCAGGGCGTATGCAGGCAAGGCGCGGGGCGGACTCCACGTGAGTGCTAGTCATTAGCCGGCGTGGCTGCAGTGTCCTGCCAAGGGAGGCCCAGTCACCCCCCACGGCTGCTGGAGCCTCTGCAGGAGGCTAATGTCGACAGCACAGTGCCGTTCTGGAATAGAGACAACCATGTGAGCACAAGTGGAGAAATATGTCTCCTTGCCTCCACCATGTTAATGTCCTTTCCAAAGGCATTGGAAACACGGATCTGACTCAAGATTCAAGATCTGTAGGGCACTTCCAATAGCCAGCTCAGTCCCTGACTTGCCTCAAGTAGACGGCTTATTTCCTATGCCCAGAAAGAAGCCACCTGTTTGATTTTGGAGCAGAAAGGGTGTTATAAGATTTTCTTGTCCACTCTAGACCATTTGGGAAGTTAGGAGTTAGTGACAGATCTGGGACTAGAAAAGGTGTTTCCTGGATCCCAAGCAAGAACCTAGGACCATGTTGCCCCTTGGAGAGAGCTCAGGTCCATCCACTTGGGGTTTCAGGAAAAAATCTCACCATCCTGGACTGAAATCATCAATCAATTTCCAAAATATCCTCCAGCCAGAAAAACTGAACTTTAGCTAGAAGTATATTTCAGTGTCTAATTCAGTGTCAGAAGTGGTCTCCAGATTTTATTGTTGCCCTTCAAAATACCTTGTCATTTTTTTACCACTAACAAAATGCTGCTGATGTCAGTGGCTCCATCTGCCTTGCTAGGAGATTCGATTTATTTGGAGCAAAAGAATGAGTTAAATCCTCTCTTGTGAGTTTATCATGATAAATGGGTCCTAACAAGGTTAAATTTATCTTCTGTCTAACCAGGAGTCAAACTTGTGAGAAACAATTGTTCAATGGACATAAAGTTGGAAGTCAGTTCTCAGATGGAGAATGGGAGGAATTATGAGAAGTCAAGGGAAAAAAATTCTATAATTTCTGTGATCTTGAGCCTCAGTTACCAATAAAAGCAAGTGTTTGCACTGAAAAAATTTCTAGATGGTTGGCATGTTTGAAAGTGGAGGAAAAAAGTGGTTAGAAAGTTTTTATCTAGGTTTGCCTAAATCTACAGAACTCACTATCATATAAAACCAATGTTTGGTCATTTTCCTTCTGGTTAAGACCACCTTCCAACCAAATGTTACAGAATGTCATGATTTTATGACCAGCACTGGTTTGGGGGATGGGCTGGGAGATTCTGCTTAACCTAATGCTCCATATCCATATTCTATCTTATCCTGGACTTTGGCTCTGGCAGAGGCTAGATTATATCCTGGAAGTCATAACTGACCATTTTGTCAGGAGAGTTTAGAGTGACATATACTTAGGGTCTCAGTGAATACTCCCTTGGTTGATCCTTGTGACCCTGAGGAGTTGGCTCCATTTTTAGCGAATTTATAGAAATTGTATGTCAATTTACATTACTAACCTATGTCTTCTCTTAGAGGACTAGTTCTACCTCTTCTCATTCTTTATCTGTCAGTACTCTTTTGTATATTGTGCAATGGGTTATTTTTCTAGGTTCATCTCTCTTTGTAAGAGACCAGATCTTTTGTATTCTAATATTCCCATCGTTCCTAGCACAGGGCATTGTAAGAGGGGCATTCCCCCATATGGCAGTAGTTCTGGGATATTGACATCTGGAGGGAAACAATTTGAGTTATCACAACTGGAGCGGGAGCTGCTATTGGTGTCTAGTGAATAGAAGCCAGGAATGCTGCTAAAAATCCTACAATACATAAGACAGCTTTTCTCAGCAAAGAATTATCTGGCTCAAAATGCCAGTAGTGCTGAGATTAAGAAATCCTGCTCTGAAACACCAATTTTAGACAATTTTTAGATGTAGAAACCTATCATAAATGGGATTTTGCATGCAGACCCAACATATATAATGGTAACACTCTTCATGCAAATGGGCTGAAGATGGTTCAGTGACTGTTGTATGTAGCCAAAAGAGCATGAGACTCAAAGTCACAAGACATGGGTTTCAGAACTTGATGGATCCAGATGTGCAACTTTGAGTGAGTTGCTTGACCTTCTGGGTTTGTTTCTTTGTCTGTGAAATGGGGTAGTAATTTCTATTTCATGATTTTTTTTTATTTCAGCATATTGCGGGGTATAAATGTTTAGGTTACATATATTGCCTTTGCCCCATCTGAGTCAGAGCTTCAAGCGTGTCCGTCCCCAGATGGTGCGCGCCACACCCATTAGGTGTGAATATACCCATCCCCTTCTTCCCCCTCCCACCTGCCCGACACCCAGTGAATGTTACTACTATATGTGCACATAAGTGTTGATCAGTTAATACCAATTTGATGGTAAGTACATGTGATTGTTTTTAAAGTTTAAATGAGATTAAAAAGTATAAAAGCACCTTGTAAACTCACTTCTTTGCTGTTGATCAAATATTCTGATTAATACAATGTTAAACCTACTGAATTACTGGCTGTGGAAAAATGAGACTACAATAATATTAATACTAAAAGTACAGAAAGCCCACTCCAGAGTTGCTTGATGACGACCTCTTCCAGGAAGCCAGATAGAGTTTAGAAAGTAGGTTCTTACATCTCACCTTTTAAAACTAGATACAACTTTAGTAAACTTGATCTCTCAGAAATATTCTGACCTTCTTCAGCCCTACTTTAAAAGGAGAACAGCTTCCCACCCATGGAACTGCGTGGCTCTCTGTACATTCCAGGGTATATTGTTTTGATGTTGTGCTGTAATCTCCCCTGCTTTTCCACCATTTATTTTTTACATCCACTTCTGAAAGTGATTCTCTCCTCCCTGCCCATGCTTTTTGCTGATAATATGCAAACTCCCTGCATGACATTCAAGGCCCTTAAGAATCTCTCTCCAGCCCACCCTTCCAACCTCATCCTCTACTGTCTGTTACTATGGACCTTATACTTCCCAAACTCTTCATCATTATTTCAGAAATTAGGCAATACTTTCTAATGTCTCAACTTTGGGCATAATTATGGCTGTGTTTCTGTCTAATTACTGCTTACTTTGAGGTCTCTGCCTTTTCCTGCTTGGTGAATGAAAGGTGACCTTGGAACAGAGGTTAGTGGAATCACTAAAGGTTTTGGGAACAGAAAGAAAGAAGGGATGTGTTTGGCTGAGTCTACTGGCCTTAGTTTCCCTCATGGACCTTTTTAGTTCTGCCCGCCCAGCTTTCTCTCAGCACAGCACCCTGATCATGGTTCGTTACATTATGATGTTGTGTATCTCCCTCATTACCTGCCACTCTGGGAGGGTAAGGACAGCGTCTAATTCATCTAGGCTTCTCTAACTCCCAGCAGAGAGCCTGGCCCAATTAGGGGACATTGGGAATCTCACCTTCACATAGTCATATTCACAAAGGTAGGAGGATTCCAAGTTGAAGTGCATGAAGTAAAGCTTGATCCGAAACCCATCTGGGACAGTGATATTCCAAGTCACCTCCGAATCACTCGGATAGGAGTCTGGATAACCAGGCGACTGGATCTGGCCAAACATATTGTTTAGCTCCACGGTGTGGGCTGAAGCCTTCGACAGGAAGAAGCACAGAGCATGATAGAGAAGCAGCCACCTGAAAGACATGCACATGGGTCACTTACATTCATGGACACAGGTCTCCAACATTCATCTAAATCAGCAGCTGGAAGAACAAGTTCTTAGCGTGTCTCTGTCTCTGGCCTTCTGTGGTTACTTTTCCCCTCTGGAGCTTGCTGGCCCAGTCTGCAACATGGGCAGATGGTAACTAGATGATTTCTAAAGTTTTTTCCAGTTTTGCTCATTTGAAGATTTTATAATAGCGTGAAACTTTTCCAGAAAGTGCCACATTTGGGACTCTGACACTTACCATTTTACTGTTGAAAATGTAATTTTCATAATTAGGTAAAAGTTGATATTTCTTCAGCTCAGCTTCATTTAAGAATCATAAACTCTTGATTCCTTTTTCTAAAGAGTAAATGATAATAACATGGTAATATTGGGATGAGACTTAAACTCTTTGATGGAATCTGCAGTACCTTAAACAGATGTAACATTTGAAAGAGGTGTTTTACCACCAAATCAGTCAGGGTGTGTGAAATCTTGAATAAAGAATGACCGAAACAAGTTTTCTTCCTCTTGGTAAGTGTCATAATAAAAGGGTCAAAATCCTACAACTTATTTCTACAGGAATCAGAGACAATGGACTCATAAGGAGTTGCAAAAGAGGCAAGGAAACTTCGGTAACTCCTGCAGAACACACCAGTGTGGCTGCTGCAATACTGAGGCCGAATGACCAGGGCTGGTCAAAGCCCTGGTGTTCAGCATACACCGCGCCAGGCATCTGTCTGATGGGTCGCTTCCCCTGGGAGACCCAGGGACCTTGAACTCAAACATCCCAAACTTGGCTCCTGACTTCTCTCCTAATCATTTCCTGCTCTCATTTCTGATTTCTGTGAATGTCTTCTGATTTCTGATTACCATCTACCAGTTCCCTAAGCCTGACTATATACCATGCATCTCTCCCTTTACACCACATTCAATAGTCACCAAGTCCTATTTGTTCCACTTCCTATGTTGTGGAAATTCATTTCTCCTCCTCTCTAGTCAATTACTTAATTTAAACTTTCTTATCTGGCTTCAAGTCTAACTGATCTCCTCTGGCTCCCCAGCAATCTTCTGCCAATGTCAACTTTCTAAAACGTGGGCGTGGCCGTGCAGCACCACTGTGCCTGCAGGGTAAAGCATTTGCTCCAGGGAGGGCTGAAGACGCCCTTTTTGATCAGGTGCTGCTCTTGTCCTTCCAGCCTCATCTCAACGCCATCCTCACAGGCCTCTTGTGGAATATTCTGGGAGCATCTGTGCCCTTCCATTCCTCAGCCCCATTCCTGCAGTCCACATGCCCTGCTCATTCCTCACCTACTGTTGTCTTAGGTACCCTCCACCATCCAGCTCAGAGCTTCCCAGGCTATGTAGTGTCCCTTCCCTCCTCCAGGTGCCACAGCTCCCTGGACATGCCTCTGTTACAGCGAGAAAAGCACTGCACTGCTTTAGGCACAGCCTTTGAAGTTAAATGTAGGTTTGAAGTTAAAGTGAGTTTAAATCCCACTTCTTCCACTTACTAGCTGTGAAAACTTGGACATCTAGTCTGTCTGAGCCCTTGTTTCTTAATATGTAAAGTGGAGATTATAATACCTAATTTACAGGGCTCATATGAGCATTAAAGATGATGTATGTAAAGGTCCTGGCATAGAGTCTGGTCTGACATGTAATAGATTATGAATGAATTAATGAACTTGGAGCCAGAGTCTTAGATAGCCTAAAAAGTCAATGCTGGGAGATCATACCAGCATCATCCAATTAACAATTATATCTTTACCAACCAGGAAGTTGTTTCCTCCCAATATCCATCCTCCACCCCTATACATTCAGATACATATGCATGGGTATGAGTTTTTGATTGTGTAAACAAAACAACATAACTACATACCCATTTATAATACAATTATCTCATGTAATATTTACCTAAAAGGTAAATAAGGAAGTACAAAGAGGTCTAGAAGGATATACATCAAGGTACTAACAGTGGTTGTCTCTAAAAAATAGGAATATGGGTGTTTTTATTTTTTATGCATCTTAAATGTTTATCTAGAAGGATCATGTACTATTTTTTCAATAAAAAGAAAATAGTGTTATTTAATTTTTTCCAACAGCCCTACAATAGCAACATGTGGGTTGTTATTAAGAAAACAAAATGTTTTAGTCCAATAGCCAATGTCAATATTTTTTAAAACCAATCTGTGGAAGGAGGGCCCCAAAGAGGGAGAAAAGGGAAGACATGGGGCCAAGTTAACCAGTGAGTTAGTAGGAAAGCTGAGTCCAGAAACCATAACTGGCAGGGCCCAGGCGCCCCATTTTCAAGTGAGGAAATGAATTGATCTTAACAGGGTTGGGAACTCAGGTTCAGCCCTGCTGAGAAGGGAGTGTATTGGTCATGGGTCAGAAGAGCTACATTCAACTCCAGGCTTTGATTATTTATCCTACCAATTTTAGGGAAGTCACAGAAGGTCTTGTTTCCTGGTCCACTTTGTGGTAATAATTATGACTTCCCACAGGGCTGCTATCAGAATAAAGGAGGATTGGAAAGTACTTTGTTAACTGTCCAGCCCTGGGCAAACATTGGTTATGATTACTCCATCATGCGGCTTCCCGAAAAGCAGGAGTTAGGAATGAGCTTTGGCTCCCAACTCGGACTTCCCTGCAACAGCGGCACTCGGATTATGCAAGGCTGAAAGGTCAACTTTCTCCATGTCTGCTTTTTCCAGAGCACGTCGTCGAGTAGACTCTGAGCCTCCTAAAGCCAGTTCTGTCAAGGGCTGGCAGCTGACAGCTCCATCGAGCCCAGAGGCCCAGTGCCATGTGTCGCAGGCAACTGGTCAGCGTGGGAGGAAGTCCCGGGAAGCTCTCTGTTCTACTTTGTTTGCATCTCAAAATGGTTTCAAACATATGAAACAAATATCTCCTTTCATGTAACGGACTTGAGCATATGCTTGCTTGCTTGCTTTAGGGGCTGTAAATTGAAGAATATAAGTGGCAGCTTTCGTTCCTCATCACACTCTGAACGTTTTTGGCTTCTTGTATACCAGGCACCGGCTGTACGATTCCTGACACCTGCTATCTATCCTCCAGCTAATCAAAAAGTTTAGCTACAGTTGCTTGAAATGTCAAAAGTAATATATAGAGCTGGGATTTCATAGGCTCCACTGTAAGAGCAGGCTATCTGAATGCATAAAAATGCCTGCACACGTCTATGATTATGGAATGAATAGCACTTTCTCTCCTCTCCATACACTGTCCTCATTTTAACCTACACAACACCAAGACTCTGCTTTTGAATTCAGGAGTTGGAAGGGACTGTATTCAGGAGTTGGAAGTACCCTAATTTGACAGATGATGAAAAGGATACCCCAAGAGATGTCATATCATGCCCAATACCATATGGTGAATTAATTTCAGCAGAAGAAAGGAAGTACAAGAACTCACAGAAGAAGCTGGGTCGATGCCCATATCATGCCCAGGCATCTGGCCAAAGCAATTAATCCTGTGAAAAATAATTTTAAAAACCCAAGGCTTTATGTGGAAATTTAAAAAATACTAATGCCAGAGCCCCTCTCTAAGAGATCCTGGTTTAATTGGTCTGGGATGGGTCCCAGGCATTGACATTTTTTAAGTCACCACAGGTCATTCTCATGTACAGCCAGGACTGAGAGCTATCAGTGTAGAATAATACACTTGGTTAAGAGTCTAGTGGAATATAGCAGAAAAAAACCCTGGTCTTGGGGCCCAAAGACCCATGTTTGAGTCTTGGCCTTTTCCAGATCATCAGTGTGGCTTTGGGCAAGTTGCTTAACTGCTTTTATACTCACTTATCCATAAATCCTTACCTCATCCAAAATCTGAAAACCAGTGCCCATGAAAGTGCTTTACAAACTCTTAAATATTGTATCCATGTGAGGCAAGACCCTTTAGAGACTTTTCTAATGGAGCACTTTTCTAGGAGTTGCTTGGTTGTTCAACAATTAAATTGAATTCAACCAATATTCACTGAATGCCTAGTAGGAAATAGACATCATGCTAGGTGATGGTCACACAAAAATGAAGACATAGATCATGTACCTTAAGGAGTGCTCAATCTTGTAGGGGAAGTGGACATTTAAACAAGGAGATATTACAAAGGTGATAAGAGATGTGTTATAGCTGCAAAGGACAGAGAGAACAAAGGGGGAGGTGCTCACTCTGGAGGATGGTGGTGAAGAAAGAGAAAGTGATATTTGAGCCAGATGGAACAATCAGGTCTCCTAGCTAGAAAATAAAAAGGATGGTTTTTCCAGGTTAAGGGGTGAGCATATGCAAAAATACAGGTTGGTTACTCAGCCCTATAGTATGATATGGCTGGGCATTGAGTGGTAGGGGGGGATTCAGATGGTTGACAGGTAAATCAGGTCACCATTCCGCATAGATGGACATAAATCCCATATTTTTTAGGAGAAAGGAAAATGAAGTTTGATGGCAGGTTTAAAATGACAATGCATTTAAAAAGAACAGAATGATGAATTCACGGTAATGACCTGATCATCTCTCTGCACCACAGGTAATTGGAGTGCAGAGAGCAGCACTCTCATTGGCAGCCCCTCATTGGCCCCCGACCCAGCAAAGTTGCTAGGTTACTGCAGAAGAGAAACAAATAGAAACATTTTCCCAATGGAAAAGAAAATTAATGAGAAAAGTGATGTTTAGGGACTTTACACATCTGCAGAGTGTTTGTGCATGTATGTGTGTGTGTGTGTTTAACAGCATTAACACTTATAAATAATATAAATAACTAGGGTGGTTGGGTTTTCAGACTTGCAGAAAAGAACTTGTCAGGAATGTCTGGTAAGGAGCATCAAGCAAGATGAGAAACAAGAAAGGCTGAGGAGCTTAAGACCAATTAGAATTTAAAGCCCTAGGTTTCAGAACTCCAAAAGACCCTTTTAAAAATTGTAGTATCTCTTTAAGAGCCATTGGTACAATTCATAGCCTGATTCGTGCCACCAGCTGCCTCAGATTTCAGTGAGAAATGAAGAAATTTATAGGGAACTATAAAATGGGGACAGGTTTTTAGCTTTCTAAATTGAGGTTTAACTGGCAAACTTGTCAAGGTTTAAGAAACCACAGATCGGAGTTGTGGTAAGCTGGTTTCTTTTCTGGTCAAAACAAATACATACACAAACATGCACCTAACTCACGAAGTGTCGGGAGAGACAAATCAATGCTCTTTGCAGAGGAGGAAAATGAAAAATCAGCCTTGTGGGCAACAGGAGGAGTGTCACATTCGCCAGCAGGCAGCACCCTGCACTGGCAGAGGGAGCAATCTGGGCTTCAGCAGTGTCCCGAGCCGGGCTTGTGCAAAGTCTCCGTCTCAAGTTGCATGTCTCCAGCGTCCCAGGGACGGCGCCCAGCCCGCCCACCGCTCCCTTCTCAGGGCCCCAAGGATTGATGAGAAACCCCCTCACCACCACCCGCGGGACACGCAGGTGAGTCTGTCCAGAGACAAGGTCAGACCCTCCTTGCTACTTGACAGCTGATCCCCAAAAGGGCACTCTGCCCTCTCCTTCCCTGGCACTCACCTCATTTTCCTGCCCTGGGTGCTCCCGGCTGCCTGGCCTTGGTCTTCCGGGCCCGACTTGTCTGTGAGCTCTTCCCCGGTGTGGTGTCAGCGATGCCTTATCTTTGTTCTGAGGTCCCTGTGTGTCTCTGGAATTGGCTGGCATTCTCCATTCAGGTCACGCCTTCCCCTGCCTGCAACAGATCCCCTCTCCCCCTCTCTCCCTCTGGCTTTTCCTCTCTCCTCGCTCTCTGCTCTGACTTGCTCTTACACACACTCCCAGGAACCTGACAGAAAAGAAGCTGTCTTCTCCCTTAAAAGATCCGCTCCTTTAGTTCCCTCCTGTATCCGGTGTGGCTGACTCCAGCCCTTGAGAGAAAATAACTGGGAGGCTCAAATAGGTATTTGTATCACTGTGTGTGTGTGTGTGTGTGTGTGTGTGTGTGTGTGTGTGTGTGTGTGTGTGTGTGTAGAGAGAGAGAGAGAGAGAGAGAGAGAGAGAAGAGGCGGACAAAGTCTAATTTCTCTTCAGTCTCCCTTGCCTGATGGCTATAATTTTCTGCTCTTCTTCAGGAAGAGAACAGTAATTAAACAGAAACAACCAACTAAGAAGGCAATTCTAGCATCTACACTAGGAGGAAGAAAAGATCGAAATCCCAAAGCTTCTGTCTGCAAACAACTACAGGTTTTCTTGAGAATAGAGCCGCTGGCCCAGAAAGTGAGGAGGCTCCACGTCCTGCAGTTGGCTACTTGTTCTTCCCCACTTAAATGCAATACGTAAAGAGTGCCATGTGCACCGTCTGGGGGATGGACACGCTTGAAGCTCTTACTCCGGGGGAGAAGGGTGGGAGGAAGGCAACACAGGTAACCTAAGCATTTGCACCCCTATAATATGCTGAAATTAAAAAAAAAAAAGAAAGCAATAGTTGTGGTGCTGTTTACCAGCTCAGAGGGTGCAGGGGTCTAATCCAGCCCCAAAAGGGCCCGTCACTTCGGGAAAGCCCCGTACCCAATAGGTGTAGAAAGACCTGTACTTTTATACACTTCTATACTCATGATTTGTGAAGAAATCAACGCTGGTTCTAAGCTGAGCTGAATAGTAAGAAAATCATCCCCTTCCACACCAACAATCAATACTGAATAGAGGGAGACAAGTCTGGGTGTAAAAAATAGGTTTGACTTTGCATCTTTTCTGCGATAGACACAGTGCTAGGCACACGCATCATCTCAATCACTATCACAGACTGTGAGGGCCCTGCTATTATGCTCATTTCACAAATGAGAAGACTGAGGCTCACAAAGATTATCCAATTTTCAAAGATTATCCAACTATTTATTACTCCCCACTGCTACTACCACTAATAGCTAGCTGTTATTGACCTGCTTAATGTATTAATTCTTTTCAGTCATTTTTATGTCTTGTTATAGGTGGGTAATAACATTATACCCATTTTCCAGATGAAGAAACTTCCCAGAGAGGGTAAGTTTTACACAGCTAGAAAGTTGATGGAGGAAGAATTTGAGGTCTTAGCCACTATTTATATTGCCTCTCTCGGATGTATTATAATGCATATGGAATTTCAAACACACACACACATGCGCATGCGCGCACACACACACACCCTATTCGTAGAAACTCAATTTGAGTCATTTTGAAAGAGCATTAGACTCTGAGTCAGAATTTATCCGTCATCTTTCCTTCCTACCTAACCTAAGCTGTCTGTGCACTTTGGGCACAATACCTTACATATCTGATCCTGTTTCCCCTTTTGGCAAATGGGCATTATTATGAGGCTTAAATGAGCTTATGCTTGTGGAAGTGCTCTCTTAGTTGTCCAGTGGGGTACCAGAGGGGTGGCCACGAGTCACTCTAACCAAAGTGGCAAACACATGCACCCTCCATCCTCAGATACTGCTCCCTTGGCACATTTTGGGGAGAAGTGGCTTGGCTCTCGCTGGCATACTTGCTCCATTTTTCTCTGTTTTAACACTCTTGAATGTCAACCTTGCCAAGCTTGGCATTAGTAAGAGGCTGTCGTTGATAATGCCGCTGCGAGTATATGAGATGAGAGGGTATGTTTGCACTCAGGCACTGTTTCAGCAAAATGTTATTTTCTGTTTCAGGGAGAGTAGGAAAAAAGCCTTTAAAATTCCCATTAAGAAGACTCACAGGCTCCTCACACATCAAATAACTCTCACAAAGCAACATTTTAATGATTTAAGTGTAAATGAATCAGAAACACATGGACTACATTTCTCTTGGAATACACAAGGGCTTTAAAACTAAAAGAGAAAGAACTAGGGAAATTCATACTGTGCTGGGAAGCGGGCCCTGCCCAGTAGAGACAGTCCCTGATTCACACTGCCACCAAGCTTGCCCTTTCCTTAATCTGGGGAATATATTGGAAAATTCAGTCATTTGTTCTGCGCACAGAGGGAAGAGCTTGGGCGAGAAAGCCATCAGCTTCTCCTTGTAAAGTGTCACAGAGCAATTAGGCCTCCTAGAATAATTTCCTGGCCATGTTTTTTCAAGGCTGCCAGTGTTCAATGGGAGGCATTTGAAATATGTTCTAAGCCAAAGTTCTGCCAATATACAGCAGATCTGATATGTGTGTTTCCCTGGGAGTTAGCCAAGGCTCAGATGAGATCTGCATAAAAACAGGAACTACGTAGCTTAGTGAGTGATCTTGGTGCGATTCAGAACAGTTTTCCATTGGATCGGACGGCGTATCTTCCTATGCTTTTGATAAATAACCCCTGAGGTGTCATTAAGAGATCACGGGGTCGTGAGGGGTGGGAAGCATAGAAGGGATGTTGGTCTGGGAGCAGGAGAACTGGGCTCAGCATTTGTGGGTTCACCTGTGTGTCACCACTTTCTTAAGTGGGGGTGTAGGTGTAGAGGGAGGGGACATCCATTTGTTCAACTGTAAAATCGGGGGGTTGGACTCAGTTGAGCTCACGGAGCGTGTAATCGTGGGTGTGAAGACTGTGGGTTGATATAGCTGTGGAGGAGGGTCAAAGAGCCCTGAGTAGCCTTATAATCCTTGCACTTGCTTTTCCCGTGGTCATAATAGTGTCACCACCCCTAGGAATTCAATTGTAGATATTCAGAAAAATAATTTTTAAAGGGATTTAACTAGTTTGTTTTTTTAAAGTTTGACAAAAATGGTTAAAAATGCATACAAGGAACTAGCAGTATATCATTTAGAATCATAAAAATGTGGATGATAGAGGTGGCCTCAACACCCTCCAGTTAGAAGCAGGGAAAGAGGTCAGAGAGCTAGCTGCTAAAAGAGTAAACACTACAGCATTCCTACCACTGGAACAGGTTTGGTTTACATGTTCTACCCAAAGTATTTATTTTATGCGACTCCTGAGCAAGAGTTTCTGGAATTCAATGAATGTGTTAGAAAATGTAGAGAATTTGGGCAATGAGTTTTTGTTGGCAAAGGCCAAAAGGCAGGCTTTCTATCTAAGAAACTGACAAATAGCTCCAAAGATTGCAGTTCAGAATTAAAATTTGGGTTGTTCCACCAATTGACTGACAGTACGCTAAAAGCCATGGCTTCTGAGCCTATCTGATCATCAGAATAATATGGGAAATTTTAAAAAATGGCAATCCTTGAGCTTCATCCCAGAAGCTACAAATTCAATGAATCTCAGGATAGGGCTCCTGAATCTATAATTTAAAATCTACCCTGGCATGATTTTGCCATTTTTGGTACATGCAACATGATGGTGTATCTTATAATTGATGACATCTCCATCAATTGATAAGATATACTTAGTGTATGCCAGATGCTTCCCTATACATTAGTGCATGTAATATTCACATCTTTTATTTTTTTTATAAATGAAGACACTGAGATTCAGAGAAACTAAGTGTGCCCATAAGTGAGTGAGTGATGTCTACAGCTCAGGCTCTCCTGACCTCAAATCCATGGCTCTTCCTCTTTATCTGAAGATTTCTGATACTTCCTGTGAACTTTGAACACTCGTGAGCCATGCTGTTGTGTGATTACAAGATTTCAGAGAAGAAAAAAATAGCTTCTGTATTAAAAAATAAACTATTAGGCTGTTGTGGGCTGAATTGCATTCCCTCCAAATTCATATGTTGAAGTCCTAACCCTCAGTAGCTCAGAATGTGACTGTATTTGGAGGAAGGGCTTTAAGAGGTGATTAAATTAAAATGGCGTCCTTAGAATGGACCCTAACCCAATGTAATTGGTATCTTTATAAGTAGAGATTATGACACAAACATACACAGAGGGAAGATCATGTGAAGACACAAGGACAAGATAGCTATCTGTCTACAGACCAAGAATATAAGCCTCAAAAGAAACTAAACTTGCCAACACCTTGATCTCAGATGGGTTTGGATTATAATCCTTAAAGACACAATCCTGAATGTCATAATCCCAAATGTTGAAATCCTGAAAGATCAAAATCTTTAAAGTCTAAATCCCTTAAGTCTAAAATCCTTAACATCTAAAATCCTGAAAGTCACAATTACAAGATAGTTGCATCATGATAGGTAGAAATAGTATCTTGTTATTGTCTTTTTGTAGAAGAAAATGGATTTTAATTGAATCCCCAAACCATAACGATAGCTTCCGAATTAGGTATAAATAAAGATTATAAAACTGAATTTCAAGGTGTTACCAATAAAGTTTATTTTCTTTTTCCATTCAGCACAATACATTTGGTGAAATATTTTAATGAGTGGATTGGCCATACAACATGGCAATGACGAAAACTTCAGTTAAAAATGCGTCATTTGTCTGCATTGGCATTCCTTCCAGTTGATGACATTCCAGGAGCTTCTAATGAATTACAGCCACATTTGCCTGAAAAGGCCAGTGAAGTTACTAACTGGTTTGAAAATAATTATGTGCATGGTAGCATAAGATGACTCTTAAGAAACGGTGTTGCTGTTCTACCACCAGTATTCTTTCCACCAAATTTTGGTCTGCTTATGAGTACATGTGGAATGGATTTCTGTGTACCCAAAACAACCTAGGAGCAGGGCACAGAAGATGGAAAAATTTAGTGGGGAAATGCTCATGTCAGTGTACATCAAATCACAGAAGAACTTCAAAAAGGGCAGAGCCACGTAGAAAATGAATGTGAGCATACTCTCTGAGGAAAGCCATGTCCTAAAAGATAAAAAGCAGCTATTCAGTGGCACAAGACTTTAAAATACAGCTAATAATTGTGAAAGTTGGTTAGCTCATATGGACTATCTCCATGCAATGCCCATAATCTGTCCCTATAATATATTTTTTATATGCTAAATTTTCTTTTTAGTTTATTAGGAGTTTTTCTGTTTGTTGTTTTCTTTTTTGTAGTTTTTTTGTTTTACTATTTTAAATTGTTGAAATTATTTTTTACAATTTGCTATGCTATGTATTTTGTCTTCACATCAATTCCAATACT